AGAACAACATATGTGTATATTGGAGAGGCATGCACGCTTAGGTAATCTGAGGCTTTGTGTGGATTTCATTAGTAATCTAGAAATAGGGTTAAAAAAAGGAATGGGTTTTTTGGGGGGGGGCATCCCTTCCAAACTTAGAAGATGGGAAAAGTAGAGAAAGAGGCTCAGAAGGGTCCTTCCACTCCAATTTCTCAGACTGTAAAGGAGACAGTGGGAGATTTGCACTTTCAGAGTCACAAATTTCTGTTAATGTTGTCTTACAGTGAAGTAGTAACTACTTCATTGTGTTGTGTTTCCTGTCTGACCTACCTGAGAAGACTGATCTCATTACAGGCGGATGCCAGCTTGTTTCTTTAGAATTAGGTGCACCGGATGAACCTGTATGGTCTAGAGCAGTGGTTCTCAACCTTTTTAATGCCGCGACCCCCCAACCGGTCATAAGTCGAGGACTACTCAACCGGTCGTAAGTCGAGGACTACTCAACTGGTGCAGCACTGTCTGCAGGATGGGACTTTTGGCAGGCTCAGCAGGGCAGAGACAGCCTGGACAATTCCTATTGGCTTTGGAAAGCCAATAGAATTAGACTCTATTCAAGAGAGTCTATTCTATTGGCTTTCAAAAGCCAATAGAATAAAAGGGAGTAGCACAGCTAAGGAAAAGGGGGAAAAAATGGCGGACTGCGTTGTTTGGCGACCCCCATGAAATGGTCATTCGACCCCAAATGGGGTCCCGGCCCACAGGCTGAGAACCACTGGTCTAGAGTCTCCATCCTTGGCAACTTTAAGACTTCTCCATTCCCAGAATTCCCCAGCCAGCATGGTGTGGTTTATGTGTGTGTGTGGGGGGTCCCTTCTGAGCCTCTTTCGCTGCGTCTCTTCCCATCTCCGAAGGTCGTTCCCATTTCAAATGACTAGACCTCTCTCAACTAAGTCACTCCACTTCCAGAGCTTCTAAGAATGAAAGAACTATGCAGAGTCCTTGAATTGTGATCATTCATTTTAAGACTGGTTGAAATAATGATGGACACAAAATGGGTGTTGTACTGTCATCCTAAATGGTTGTGCCACTCTCCGTCTGTGAGCTCATGACTGTAGGTTGGGGGGGTTCTGCTTTACAATGTGTTGTGGCATTCTCCGATAGCTGGCTGGGGAATTCTGGGAGTTGAAGTCCATAAGTCTTAAAGTTGCCAAGTTTGGAGAAACACCCCCCCCCCCTTTGGCCTAATGCCCTGCTAGGAACCACGCAGAATGGCTGTCTCCTTAGAGGTGAGCCTGCTTCACGACTTCTTCTCTCAAGGTTCTTACCTAGAACCAAGACACCGACCGGGAACACCACCAGGGCCCAGCAGAATATTATTTGCCTAGAACCCACTCAACCAAAGAGCCAGTGTACCAAGAGGGTTAGATTTATTAATTAACCCAATGTCCCCGCAGAAACGTTCCCCTTTCTCTAAAATAAGAAAGTAAAAGAGGAAGTTTCGAGACCGCTAAGAAAGAGACGCCTCGGCAGTACTTCTGCACTGCTTCTTATCAAGGAGGTAGCTTGATTTCCCCTGAATTTCGGAACAAGAATAATTTAGCTTTCTGAATAACCCAGAACACTTGATAAAAAAAGACAAGATTATCTGGCTGATGCTTGGTCCTTGAAGAGGCTGAGTCTGGCTGGCATTACAGTTGGATGTTGGATATAAATAATAATAATAATAATAATAACAACTGAGCATCTAGAACAGCACAAAAACAACAGAATAAGGCTACCTGCATTGAAGCTTGTTCCAAAGAAACAGCTAGCACAAGCATTAAAAGATGCAAATATTGCAATATCAAGTATAAGCACCAATTCATTGCAAGAAACAAACCAACTAAGGTACAGCACAGCTGCAGTTATAACAGAATACCTGGGATGCAAAATCAACAAAGAAGAAAAACAAACAAACAGTGCACCAGAAAAATGGAAGGTTAGACTAGAAAATAAGATCAGCAAGTTAAGATCACATGCAAGCAAGCTAGAACAGATGAAAGAAAAGAAGCTGAAGAACAAGAAGACCAAAGAATACCTAATCAAGAAATACCACTTAGAAACAAGGAAGATCAAGGAAGCACTGGAAATAATAAAGCAACAAATAACAGCTATAGCCAGGAAAATCAGTAGATATGAAGCTCGAATTGCAAACTATAGGCAGAACCTCCAATTTCAATCCAATCAGAAACGTTTCTACCAATCCATCAATGGAGAAACTGCAAGGAATCAGTCAGTACCTGACAAGGAAGAAACAGTGCAGTTCTGGAAGCAGATATGGGATAACCCAAAGAAATACAACAAGGATGCGGCTTGGTTAAAAGAGGTGGATGCAAATAAAACAGAAGTTGAAATGAAAGAACTAGTAATAACAACAAAAATGGTAGAAAAAAGAGCAAAGAAAATCAAAAATTGGTCAGCACCAGGTGAAGATGAACTGCATGGGTTTTGGTTGAAACATCTAACTGTTATACACCCACTCATTGCCAACAGTTCAACAATATACTACAAGGAGGAGAAATTGAAAAGTGGCTAACAACTGGGAAAACCTACCTAATAATGAAAAATCCAGCAAAAGGGGCAACACCAGGTAACTACAGGCCAATTACCTGCTTACCAACAACTTTCAAATTACTAACTGGTGTGGTAGCTGATGCAGTACAACAGCATCTAGTTGAAAACAATCTCTTTCCACCTGAGCAGAAAGGAAACCGCCCCAATAGCAGAGGAACAAAAGATCAACTCCTAATAGACAAAATGATCTTGGAAAACTGCAAGAGAAGGAAGACCAACCTGAATGTGGCATGGATTGACTACAAAAAGGCATTTGACTCTCTGCCACATGATTGGATAATAAAGTGCCTAGAAATAACAGGAGTCAGTAGAAACATCAGAAAATTTGTGCAAAGATCGATGGCACAATGGAAGACACAGTTGCAGATCAATGGTGAGGCTGGGAGAGGTTAATATCAAGAGAGGAATATTTCAAGGAGATTCATTATCACCATTACTATTTGTTATTGCACTGTTTCCTCTGTCAACAATACTGAATAACTCAGGACATGGCTATCAAACATCAAAAACATCTGCCAGACTATCCCACCTCCTTTATATGGATGATCTGAAGCTGTATGGAAAAACATCATCTGAAATAGAATCGCTGCTCAACACTGTCCGTATATATAGCCAAGATATTGTAATGGAGTTTGGCTTGGACAAATGTGCCACACTTACTATCAAACAAGGAAAAATAATGAAAACTGAAGGAATCAAGATGCCCCACGAAAATAACATTAAGAGTCTGGATGAGGAAGAGTACTACAAATACTTGGGTATCCTTCAAGCTGACAACATCAAGCACACTGAAGTCAAGAAAAAGATTAGAGGTGAATACATCAAGAGAGTGAAGAAGATCTTAAAATCCAAACTCAATGGAGGAAATACCATAAAGGCAATCAACACCTGGGCAATCCCAGTCATTAGGTACACAGCTGGAATAGTGGACTGGACTCAAGCAGAACTAAAAGCAATGGATAGGCAGACCAGAAAAATAATGACAATGAATCATGCCCTTCATCCACGCAGTGACATTGATAGACTTTATCTACCAAGGCAAATAGGTGGGCGTGGAATGCTACAAGTACATCAGATGGTTGAAGAAGAAAAAATGGCTTTGGAAGAATATCTGAAGAACAATGATGAAGATGCACTGAAATTAGTATATCAGGAAGGCTTACTAACTACTGGAGAGACCAAACTGGCCTACAAGAAAGACCAAATGAAGAACAGAATAGAGGCATGGGAAGACAAAGCACTACATGGCCAATACATGAAAAAAATAGCTGGGAAAGCAGATAATAATAAAACCTGGCAATGGCTAAGAGCAGGAAAATTGAAGAAAGAGACCGAGGGACTAATTCTGGCTGCACAAGACCAAGCCTTAAGGACAAATGCATACAAAGTCAAAATTGAGAAGACAGCAACAGACAGTAAGTGCCGCCTATGCAAAGAAGCTGAAGAAACAGTGGACCACTTGGTAAGCTGTTGCAAGAAGATTGCACAAACTGATTACAAGCAGCGGCATGACAAAGTAGCAACAATGGTGCATTGGAAGATCTGCAAAAAATATCATTTGCCTGTAAGCAAAAACTGGTGGGATCATAAAATAGAGAAAGTCATAGAAAATGATAAAATTAAACTGCTCTGGGACTTCAGAATTCAAACAGACAAGCACCTGCAACATAACACCCCAGACTTAACAATTGTCGATAAGAAAGACAAAAAAGTCTGGATAGTGGATGTGGCAGTGCCTGGAGATAGCAGAATAGAAGAGAAAGAACTGGAGAAGATAACAAAATACAAAGACCTACAAATAGAAATAGAAAGACTGTGGCAAAAGCAAGCAAGGGTAGTACCAATAGTCATAGGCTCCTTGGGTGCAATCCCAAAACAACTGGAGCACCACTTGAACACCATTGGCATTGACAAATTCGCTATTAGTCAATTGCAAAAGGCGGCCTTACTAGGAACTGCTTCCATCCTGCGACGATATCTGTAATACCATCAAACATCCACATCTGCCTATCCCAGGTCCTGGGTAAGGACTCGATAGGTAGACAAAATGCCAAATCCAGTCTGAACATCTGGCTGACTGTGCGATGATCGATAATAATAATAATAATAATAATAATAATAATAATAATAATAATAATAATAATAATGAGGAGGAGAAGGAGAAGAAGAAGAAAAAGAAGAAGAAGAACAACAACAACAGCAATAATAATAATAATAATAATAATGAGGAGGAGGAGGAGGAGAAGAAGGAGAAGAAGAAGAAAAAGAAGAAGAAAAAGAAGAAGAAAAAGAAGAAGAAAAAGAAGAAGAAGAAGAACAACAACAACAGCAGCAGCAATAATAATAATAATAATAATAATAATAATAATAATAATAATAATAATAATAATAATAAAGTTGGAAGGGACCTTGGAGGTTGTTGCGTCCTTCGCGAAATGGCAAGACACGAGAAGCAGTTGTAGTTCTCAGGTATGCTTTATTCTTCAGTTCAGCTTACAGTTGGAATATACCGGCAACGCCCAAAACTCTCGGCCTCTTATATAGGCCTTTCCCGAGTCAATGTGTTACTTTTTGGTGTGCCAGCACTTGCGCATGCGCATAAGCACTGGCGACAGCCTGTCTGGCCCCGGGCAGCCTGCACCTGCAATGCCCTGAGCCTGCTTGCACAAGCTCAGGACATAACACCCCTTTCCCCCGGGCTAAAACTATTACCCATGCCATAATAATACATAACTCATTTTTTTAGTGTAGTGCCATGCTCCCAATACCAGGTGTTCCCCGTTTTCCATTGGCCTCAATGCTCTACTTTCTACTAGCTGTGTTTTGCCAATAGGGTTACAAAATCCTCTAAATACTTAGGAGATTTCCTTGCTCTCTGTGACCTCCTAAGCTCTGGGTACCTGCCAAGTACCCCTTGACTGAGGGGTGGTGCATGCCTGTCCCCCTTATTATGCCTTGGTGGTTCCCAAGGACTGTGCTCCAATGCCTGGCCTGCTTGCTTGCCCACCGGGCTCGTCAGGCCAGGACTTCTTTCTCTGTGTAACCTGGTTGTCCCGCCTAGCTGTAGGCTCTCAGGCCCTTCTAAGTGACTGTCACTGTTGGGCGTTTCTGTAGAACCTCCTAGGTCCGTCCAAGACCTGTCAGGAGGCTGTCTGTCCCCTGAACCCCGTTCTGTGTCCGGGCTTGTGTGGTTTTCAGTATTGTCCCAAAACTCAGTTGTCCCCTGAGTGAATTCAGAGGTGTTGTAGTCGGGATTTGGTTCCTCGACCACCTCCCTGCATGTTTGCCCCCTTCTAGGGATAGGGGTAAAGTCAGGCCAACTAGGAGGAGTGTGTGCCAGCTCTCTTGCGGGGTATGGTTTATTGGGATGCTCCCGGGTATCCTCCCTGACTGGAGTACTGAGTGGTGCGGGTGAGTAGTGATTATGCCCCCGGGGTGACTCCCTGGCTGGAGTAGGCGTGAATGCCTGATGTCTAGTTGAGCTCCTAGAATTCCTGTTTGGAGCACTTGCGGAATCCTGAGATAAGCTGTTTGTAGCTTCCTCATTGATTATGGGCAGCAGCCCGTACCCCTCCCTTTGCCCAAAGGGGTCCCCCTCCCCCCCTGGAAGAGACCCAGGGGTCTCAGCGGGAAGGTCCCGTCTAGGGCGAAGTTGGTCAATCTGTCGACGCAGGACACGACCGTTGTCCAGGGAGACCTCGTAAGACAGAGGACCTGTGACCCTGGATATAGAAGCGGGGACCCATGTATGACCAGGCCCGTAATTATGAGTCCAAACCGGGGCACCCACAAGTAGTTGCCTAGGTGCCCTGGGGTGTGTAACAGAAGGAGGCAGTCTGTCCAGATGCAACCGGTCAAGCTTGGTAGTCAGTTTGCGCCCCCAACGAAGTTCAGCTGGGCTTCTCCCTGTAGAAGTGGATGGTGTGGTGCGATAAGAAAGGAGGAAGTCAGCCAACCTGTGATGCCAGTCTCCGTAGGTAAGTTTCTTCAAGGCGTCCTTGGCGATGCGAACTATGCGTTCAGCCATACCGTTGGTGGACGGGTGGAAGGGTGCAGAGGTGGCATGACGAATCATGTTAGCCTGCAAGAAAGCTTGGAATTCGGGGGAAGTGAATTGAGGGCCTTTGTCAGACACAATGACGTCTGGGAGCCCGTGTGCAGCAAAAATCCCCCTCAGTACCTGAATAGTCTTTGCAGTGGTGGTGGAAGAGACAGGTACAACCTCAAGCCATTTTGAGTGGCTGTCAACGAGGACCAAGAAGAATTGACCCTGAAAGGGCCCAGTGTAGTCAATGTGCACCCTAGACCATGGAGACTGCGTTTCCTCCCATCTATGCACAGGAGCTTGGGGCATTTCAGGGTGCGAGCGTTGACAAAGGTGGCATACATGCACCTTAGCTTCAATGTCTTTGTCTAGGCCAGGCCACCACAAGTGGCTGCGCGCAAGAGCCTTCATTCGTACAATGCCAGGATGACCCTCGTGGAATGAACCTAAGACCCTAGTCCTCATTGAGGTGGGAATGACAACTCTGCTTCCCCAAAGCAGACGACCCTGAGAGGTGGACAACTCGTTCCTTTTAGACCAGAAACTCTGAAACTCAGGACCAGGACAGTGCTCAGGCCATCCAGACAAAACCCAAGAAAGGACACGTGAAGGTGTGTGATCTGTGCCTGATTCAGCGGCTACATCCCTGGCATTCAGGGGGGATTCGGGCAAGGCTTGAATGGAGAGAATATTGATAGCTGGCACAGGGTCAGCTTCTATTACCGGCAGGGGTAATCTACTGAGGCCATCAGCATGGCCCATTTCCTTCCCAGGTTTGTGAAGTAAGGAAAAATCATAGGCAGACAAAAAGATAGACCACCTGAGCATCCTGGGGGAGATGATTTGGGGGGTTTGCTTACATGTGGTAAACAGTCCCAGCAACGGCTTATGGTCAGTGAAGACCGTGAAATGCCTACCATATACAAAATCATGGAATTTTTTAATTCCAGCAACAACAGCTAAGGCCTCCCTGTCTATCTGAGCATAATTACACTCAGCAGAAGACAATGTTCTGGAGTAATATGCAACAGGAACCTGAGTTCCATCAAACCTGAGGTGGCTCAGTACAGCTCCTGCCCCATAAGGAGAAGCATCACAAGCGATGCACACAGGAAGGGACTCATTGAAATGTGCGAGTACACTGTTAGAAGTGAGCAAGGCCTTGACCTCATTGAAACTTGCCTCATGTTTTTGTGACCACTGCCACACTGCCTGTTTGTCTAATAGCCTGTGGAGAGGCTCAGCTACACTAGCCTTATGTGGGAGAAAGGAATTGTAGAAGTTCAGAAGGCCCAGAAAAGCCTGAAGTTCGGCCTTAGACTTTGGCCTAGGGGCATGCATAATAGCCTTTAGTTTGGATTCAGCAGGGTGAATCCCAGCAGCATCAATTTTGAACCCCAGAAAATCAGTAGAAGGCACCCCAATTTTGCATTTGTCCTTCTTAAGTTTTAAGCCTGTTTTCCTGAACCTTAACAGGACAGCCCTTAGCCTTTCAGCTAAATTGTGTGTGGAGTCTCCTGCAATTAAGACATCATCAAAATAGGGGCAAACCCCTGGTATACCCCGTAGAGTGTTTTCCATTACGCTTTGGAAAATCCCAGGAGCGACATTTACTCCAAACTGTAGCCTCTTTACCTTGAAAGCCCCTCTGTGGGTCACAATGGTCTGAGCTATAGCAGCATCATCATCAACAGGCAGCTGTTGATATGCCTGAGCTAAGTCAAGCTTTGCAAAAACACGCCCCCCCTTGAGGGAGGCCAAGATATGACTGACCACAGGAACAGGATAGGCATATTGCTGCAATGCCTTATTCAGAGTGCATTTGTAATCAGCACAGATGCGAATGTCCCCATTTGCCTTGAGAGGCGTAACAATGGGGGTCTCCCAGGGACTGGAGTCAACAGGTTCTAGAATTCCTTGTTGGATCAGTTTTTCCAACTCAGTGTCAATTTTACTCTTTAAAGCAAAAGGGACTCTTCTTGCTTTAATTCTAATGGGAGTGACAGTGGGGTCTAGCTTTAATGACACAGGGGGTCCTTTGAATGTGCCCAGCTGGGGGCTGAAAACATCTGCAAATTCTTTGCAGACTTCCTGTAGGTCGAGTGTTTGTAGGCTGTTGAGCCCTGTGACGTGTATCCCCAAGGCCTCAAACCAATCGAGTCCTATGAGACTCATTCGTTCACCCCCTACTACTAATAGGTCTAGTGGACCCTCAAAATCCTTATACTGTACATTAAGGGTGGCCTCCCTCTTAACACACACTCTGGAGTTTTGAAAGTCTGTTAACACAATGTCAGAAGGCCTCAACTTGGCCTGAATTCCACTACCGGAACAAATCTTCCTAAATGTGTGCATAGAAATGATCGAAAGCGCAGACCCTGTATCCAGTTCCATAGTTAATGGAACCCCTTGTAGCTTCACCTTAAGTGACAGCTTTTTCTTAATGGGCTTGTGTGTGCCTGTCCTGTAGATGCTTCTTCGCGAAGCACAAAACCCCACCCTATTCTGGCTGGGACCCCTGGTACCTTTCAGGCGCAATTCTTCCTGAGGTTGTACCTTCTGATGGCCCAGGCACACAGCTGCAATGTGTCCTTGTTTCCCGCACGCCCTGCAGATAGCGGAGTGGAACTTGCAGTCGGTTCTCTTGTGGCGACCTCCACAGCCGATGCACTTGGAGAGAGCTGAAGAGCTTCCTTTTTGTTTCCCTTCCTTTGTGGGGTGGAGACGGTCCACTTCCTCGTCAGGATCCTCCTCAGAGTTCCCTTGGACCTCTTCCTGGTGCACGGACGCAGCATCTGGACTGTTCCTGATCGGCCGCATGTTCTTGATGGCACCGCCCGCTGCTTCTTCTGCGGTGACCTCTCTCAAGGCATCTTGGAAAGACAAATCCTCCTTGGCAAAAAGTCTCTGTTGTAGCTCTCTATGCCTTAGTCCGCATACAAATCTGTCCCTCAGTCGTTCTTCAAGGTCCTTGAACTCGCAATGTTTGGCGGCTTTTCTCAATGCGGCGATGTACTCCTTGGCCGATTCTCCGGATCATTGATCCCTCTGCTCGAAGGTGTGGCACCACGTGATGACGGACATCTTAGGCTGGAAGTGCTCCTTCAGTAGCTTTTTTAGATCTGCGTAGTTGACAGACTCTAGAGCAGTGGTTTTCAATTATTTTCTGTCATGCCCCCCTAGGAAGAAGAAAACATTTTGCGCCCCCCCCGCGTGACTGTCTATCCAATCGGGTCCTTTGCGTGTGTCACGTGCGTCCAATATGACAGTATTTGCCGAGGTCGAACGAGCCCCCCTTTACGGAGCCTCACGCCCCCCCTGGGGGGCCCGCCCCACTATTTGAGAACCACTGCTCTAGAGGAACAGGTGCTGCAAGGTTCTCAGCG